TTCTGAAAATGTTGCGTTCACACCAAAAAGATCCGGAACTAGAACTTAGTTCATGAGAACCTTTTCACCCCCTTTTCAGTCCCTGCTAGAGAGCTACAGGTACTTTCATGGGAGAAAAAGGTTGCCATTTCTGATTGGCTGGGCGGATTGCAAACCACGCCCCGTAAAACTCTCAAAAAGTTTCGTGAAGCCGCCATTTTATTTGCTCGCGGTGGAGTGATGAGGAGATGTCGGCGTTCTGGCGACACAAAATACAAATATGAACATGAAAATAAGCTTTAACACACAGTATTTTTCTGATATTGTCTGTGTGGAAATACCTGTATTCAAATATCAAAGGTAGTTCTCAAATAGTTAATTGAGATTGTCAAATGTGGGGTTGGTATATTTTAATGAGCATGCCTGTCACTTAGGAAGGAGAGCCAAATTCGAATAGCTTGAATCATTATTTCAGAGCAAAGCAACCCATGAAAAACTGACCGGTTTGTTTTATTTCAGTTTGACGGTTGGTAGGCAATCCAGATACCCAAATGCTAAATATTGCTACAGAAATCCTAAACCAAGCTGCTATAACTTCATGTCCAGGAGAGTCAAGGACTTAGGTAACCCCACACCCTGTTCCTCTCTGACTCAAACTTCTACATCCCACTATCTCTCCGGCTCAGTTTCAGAAATCGAACTAACAATGTACAGTATAGCCTGCGAGTTGTTCAGTAAACACGAATGAACGAGGAGGGAGTTAAGTAACTAATTGCCGGCCTTCATCTTTTTTTCTGTTGATCCAGGAGTGCTTGTGTACACTCTTCAGGCCTGGGCTGAGACAATGGCTGGTATGCCTGTGCTGTTGACATAACTCTCACCTCATGCAACCCATTGTCATGTCAAGAATGACGACAATTAACAGAAATTGACTGTTAAGTAATACTTAGATCTTTCTTTATATGCTCCAGCTTACAGTATATATTGTGGTTAACAACATGAATTCACAAAAAACATCTTAAACCTTCAATAATCATTTTCTTATCTTTATCAAAGCCAAACTCTAATGACATCATTCCTCCTTTGTCCATTATATTTGCTGTTCAGGTAGATTATTAGCTAGTTATTATCTAAAATGTCCATTTATAAAATATTTCACTTCATGACAAAGGAGTATGGTATTAAGGGTATTGGCAGGTTACTATGTTTCTGAATATCACAATTAAATGTAACAATTCACATTAAGAAAAGGATTCAGAAACGTCTTGTTATGAGAGGGCACGGTGACCAAATCATCTTAATGAACTGAAGAGATCAGTGCCAAGGAGATAAACATATCAGTATATCATATCTATATCAGTAAGAGGAAATGCATAAAAGAATCAGATACAAAGGAGATGTCCATCCTTTGACCATCGAGGAGTAGGAGGGTGGATGTTTAAAAGGAATGCAGTGAAGAGGAATAAAATGTGATTTAATAGGGATCTGCTTGTAGTTATGATTATAATAATAGGAAATGTCTCTCTTATACAACCATCTTAAACAATTAACAACACACAAAGAATAAACTTAATTTTTAATTGGCATCAGTTTGACCAGATTTCAATTTGTTACACTTGTTTGTTGTGAAAACAAAGTTAAAGGGGCCGTATTATGCAAATGTTCAGGTAAATAATTTGGTATTTGTATTTAACCTTTTTTTCTCATACTGCCTGTGCTGCAGCACCTCTTTTCACCCTGTGCCTGAAACCAGAGTCCAGTCTGCTCTGATTGACCCTTTAGCCTATCACGTGCAATGTGATGAAACGCTAGCCCAGCAACACCTCTTCTGTTATCGGCTGTCTAACCTTCCAAACATTTAACATTACATTCAATTTCCCTTTGTACATGATGCCTATTTGTATTTTATTATTTTTAAAGATAATTTGCCTGATTTTGAGCTTTGAGAAGAAAAAAAAAACATGAATTGAAATAAAAACTGTGATCCTTCTTGTCGGGGTATGTGTGGTTTCTATCATTGTATTTTATCACTGTGCTTTTTATGACTGGTGATAGAAAGAGCGTTAGGACTAAAAGGTGAAGGGGTTATCTGTAGGACAAGGCTGAGATGGCGTTGCCCTCTGGGCCGCCTCTATGTAAGCACACTTGGTCATGGTTGTTTTGTGAATTGTAGATTTTGAGATCAGACGATGACGACAGTGGCACATAGGCCGCACTCTGAATCGAGGCAGTTGCTTAACCCTGGTCTTTATTTCCCTAAAATTAAACAATAATTTTGATAACAAAAAAACTCTCAGATACTGCATAGTTTGACATTTAGCATAGCCCAATGGCCCAACGGCAAACAAGTGTACCCTGGATGCCCAGAGCGTTTCTTTGATAGTCCAAACTAATTCCTTTACCATCTCTGTGCAACTGGACACCATTAGTCTGGAGCCCCTATGTATTTATTGTACATGAGATACTTTAGAAAAAAAACGTTAACATCATAACAACAGCTAACATTATCAGAAGGAGGTTCTGTGCGAGGTTATGATGCGTTCTAGACCTATTTGTGAAAATGTGTATTGGCAGAAAGAAAATGATCCGACCTGTTGCTAACAAAAGGAAAATAGACTGTAGTCATTTTAGTGTTTGCACTGAGAGAACTTTGATAGAACAAAGAAGTCGAGTTTTTAATTTGTTCAATATCCTTTAATGATGTCCAATCATTCTGCTAATGTCCAATTATTTAAGTGGTAGAATTATGTAAGGCTGTGCTACGTTGTAAAAAATTGCCTTTGTTTAATGTTTTTATATAAGATTATTTTTAAGGCCTCCAAATATAGTGGTTGGTTGCCTGTGGGGCCTTGTATTGTATTGTATATCCCTTCCTCAAGGTAACATTATCCATCTACTTTCCCCAAAGAATGTGTGCCAACTGTGTTCCTAAACCTGAATTTCTGGTTAATCTCTACTAGTAAGTAACATGACTCCTGGCTACTTTTTATTAATAAAGACCAACAGAAGTTGATCATCCCTCCTGCGTTCTAGTAAATAGGTAACAGCAAAGATATAACAAAGCATCAAAGGCAGTAGCTTTTCAGGTGACCTTAGTGCTTTCATAACTTGTGGTTTCCGGTTACATAGATGAGAAGGGTCAATTAGTCAGTAAACATGTGGAGGCTGAGGATATTTATCACTTCTACAATGATACGAAACTTTTATAAGAAGAACATGGGTAACACCCAGAACATTTGGTCTCTAACACTCCTTGTCCTTTCATTATTTAGGGTGAGGTATTCCCAACGTGTGCAATCATAAAGTCGACTCTGGCTTGAGGTTCACTTATTCATAGTTTCTTATTTGCTGCCCTTGTTTAATGTTTGGTTGGCTCAAAGCAAATTGTGCCAAAAATATTCTTTGTTGAATGGGTTGTAAAACCTGGATAAAGCTGAAAAAGTTTTCCTGAAACAAACAAAAATTCAAATTTTCACTATGCACCCTGGGTGTTGTGTGTATGTGTTTTTGTCTGATGGTGTGTCAACAGCAGTTAGTAAGAGGCATGTGGAAAGATCGGGTTAAAGTTCAGTAACACTGTGGAGAGTTCGATAACACTGACTACTTGTGTGGCACATCGATCAGTCACATATATTACACCAAGTATATCCAACAGTAGGGAATAACCAAAGTCTTTTATACATTTTACACACAATCAAATCCTTAAAACCATGTCTCAATAAACAAGAGTTCTTCAATATATCATCAAGGTTTTAGATATGGAAATGGCAATTGAGGATTCAAATCCTTTTTTATCGTCACACACCTGTAGATACAGTGAAATGTAGTACCTGCATTTATCCCATTTGAGTATTAGGGGCATTGGACAGCTACTATGAAGTACCCAGGACCCTCGCTCAACAGGAGGTGACTGAATATATTTCCCTCCCCTCTCTCTGGTCGCTACAATGGGGAAATTAAATTATGGGCAAACATTTGTATTTACAATTATTCAAAGTAACCAGTGAAAACCAAACCAACTGAGATCAGTCCAGCCGTGCGCCACGCCTCTTTTAAACATCACTGTTGTCGTAGTTACATTCCCGGAGGATACATCAGTGTATCCTCAGTCATAGCTCCTCCAGAGAGCCCCCTCAATGCTCGATCCTCATTTAGAGAAATTAGATGTCCTTCAGGAAGGCGCACTGACATCGATTTTTGGGTCACTACCGAGGAGTCGAGGTGGCGAAAAATTAGAGAACTGAGAAAGGGCTCTTGTGTTACTACCTCACAAGAGTTGAAAATCCAGAGCCTGGAGTGCAGGCATTCGTTCTGAAGCTTTCCAAATGCGTTTGGTAGAAACAACAAATGTATCTCTGGCTCATTCTTCTCCAAATCGCTCGGTTGTGGTTTCTCTGCGTTCTACAATTCCTGTGTTAACATTTTACATTGCCACATTTTTGTCCAATAACAAAGACTCCTGCAAGTGCATTTCCTGCCCTGCTCCTTTGACGACGCCAAACATAATTCCTTTTTTTCTGCTTTAATTGATGTACTGTGAAACAGAGCCAGACAAAACAAACCCAAAAGTATCAAATTCTCTCTGATTTGGACTAGCCAAACGGATACTGACCAGGGTTCGAGTTATGTGGGAGCCAAGGAGGGGTCTGAGCTCCTGTGAAAGCAGTGAAATCCTACATCTGTGGGGGTCGCTAATACATTACTAACAACCATTATTTTAATCACAAATAATACATT